TGTAATATGTACCTACTACTTACATCTAGGTATGTAATATGTACCTGTTACTTACATAAAGGTTTGTAATATGTACCTTTTACTTGCAAACTAGGTATGTAATATGTACCTACTACTGCATCTTAGGTATGTAATATGTACCTGTTACTTACATAAAGGTATGTAATATGTACCTGCTACTTACACCAAAGTATGTAATATGTACCTCTTACTTGCAACTAGGTATGTAATATGTACCTACTACTTGCATCTAGGTATGTAATATGTACCTGTTACTTACATAAAGGTTTGTAATATGTACCTGCTACTTGCATCTAGGTATGTAATATGTACCTGTTATTTACATAAAGGTATGTAATATGTACCTGCTACTTACACCAAAGTATGTAATATGTACCTCTTACTTGCAACTAGGTATGTAATATGTACCTACTACTTGCATCTAGGTATGTAATTTTTACCTACTACTTGCATCTAGGTATGTAATATGTACCTGCTACTTGCATCTAGGTATGTAATATGTACCTGCTACTTGCATCTAGGTATGTAATATGTACCTGCTACTTGCATCTAGGTATGTAATATGTATCTGTTACTTACATAAAGGTATGTAATATGTACCTGCTACTTACACCAAAGTATGTAATATGTACCTCTTACTTGCAACTAGGTATGTAATATCTACCTGCTACTCAGTCTATAATATGTCTTAGGAAGAGATGATCACCAAACATTGCATTTTCAATTTGAGTTACAATGGAAATATGCTTTGTAAGCATTGCATTTACAGGTAATGGAAGAGAAACCCAGTGTGTTGCCATGGTTGCAAAATAAAGTGGAAGAAAATGAAGTTAAAGAAAATGTGTTTGGTGCCCCTCCTAAAGGTCAGGAAATGTCATTTTTATTATGTGATGTGATGCAAATTATCAACATGTCTGACATAACCATTGGATTGTAATATATTCTTGGTGTTACATTAGTCATATGGTGTTCATTTCAGTTATCACATTAATGGAGCAGTCTAAATTCAGTTTGATTTGATTTTGTGGTGTTAAATGTAAAGCGAGACTCCATGCCTCTGATCATAATTTATACAAATTATATTTTTAGAGGTACCCACACTAATAATTAATTTGAATATTTCAAAACCCTGTGGACCGAAAATGCTCATTCTTTGCATGTGTCTAGTATTTTAATTGAAGTTTATGTTCAAATTTGGTGCATACATTATACCAGATTCTGCTGTAAATTCGACCAACCGAAAAATCGCCCTGGGCCCTTATTTGGGGTTCAAAATTTCAAAAAATGATCATCAAATATTTTTTATATTTCATTGAAAAATCCACCTACGCCTGTTTTCAACACAGGCAGTTGGACCACCCAAAACGAAAATCTGTATACTGTATACATTTTTTGCTTGCTGGATTAAAAAGTAAATCTTTCATTACAATGTCACCCAGCGCATCTTTCTCCCCAAAAAATCACATTAACGAACCTTGTGCGCCAAATTTTATTAGTAACGAAAGTATATAACTAAATTCTAAAAGAAGTTTCAAATAAAAACAAACACAACTGCATTCCTTAGTAGCAAATGATCGCGGTAGCACAATTTGATCATGCTGCGTTTCACAATTGTTGATTATTACCAAGTAATGATTATAATAACATGCATAAAATAAATTTGTGGAACTGTTATATAATGCAAATAAATTTCATTTTATTCCATCGTAAATGAATGATTCTGACCACATTTTAAATGCTTGATGCTGTAGAAATGAATATCCGCCATGTTTTGACCTGGGACGATGTTCTTTGACCTGTCAGGTCAAATCGCTGATTAACCAATGAAATGTGTTCAAACTACCATAGCTCATTTAAATATGTTAATGTTATTGAACGCAGCACGAAAGTGATTTGCCGATGTTGTTGTACGATCTTTTGGCTTGGATTCTGATGGAAAAGCGGCATGATTTGTTTTTAAACAAGCAGCCTGTCGGCTGAGATAGCTCCACTGTTAGCAATGCACATTTCAATTAATAAAAATTGAAGATATCATTAGAAAATGAACAATATATGTAATATCAAAGCAAATGTGGCTTGTAATTTTTAACAAGTCAAAAATATCACTTTTTACCAAAATTAGAAAATTGAAGATATCATCATATCAAAGAAAGTTCAGAATAAACTCCCGTGTGCTGAGAGTATTGAAGACATATTCAAAATTAATTCAAAATTACTTGTACTTGAGATATTGATGGAATAGCTGAAAACTAATTATGTAAATCAGGTAACAGATTTGAGCGTAAAAATAATAAGGCCTGTGTAATGTAATATCTATGTACCAAGTTTCATTGAAATGTGATTAGAACAAAAAAACTATGAATTATTATTAGAGAATTAATATGAACAAATTTCAGGCCTGTCTATTGTTCTAGAGCATTTATGTACCAAATTTTATTCAAATGTGATGATCAGTAATTGAGATATCAGTGTTAATTAATTATTTTAATTAGGTGATTAATAAGCATAAATATTCACCAAAAACTAATTGGGTCCCTGCATCGTCCTAGGTTCATTGAAATGTGATGATGAATACTCGATAAAAGTTTCATTAAAATCCAATTAGTGGTTCTTTATATATCAGTGGAACATTCATGGAAAAAATTAACTAATTATGTGAATTAGGTAATTAATATTCACAATTATTTACCCTAAAACTAATCAGGTCTGTGCATAGTCTTAGAGGATCTATGTAGCAAGTCTCATTGAAATATGATGATCAGTACTTGAGTTATCAGGCGAAAAGCTGAAAATTAACTAATTATGCTAATAAGGTAATTAATATGTACTGATATTACACTAAAAACTATCAGGTCTGTGCACAGTCCTTAAGTAACTATGTACCAAGTTTCATTGAAATGTGATGATTACTACTTGAAATATCAAAAGCTGAAAATTAATTAATTATGCAAATTATGTAATTAATATGTACTGATATTACACTAAAAACTATCAGGTCTGTGCAGTGTCCTATGATATCTATGTACCAAGTTTTATTGAAATGTGATGATTAGTACTTGAGATATCAGTGGAAAAGCCAAAAATTGATTAATCATTATACAAATTAGGTAATTAATATTGCACAGATTTTTACCCAAAACTAATCAAATCTGCACATTAGTTCAGAGCATATATGTGCCAAGCTTCATGAAAATCCAATGAGTGGTTCTTTAGTTATCAGTGGAACAATCATGGAACAGCTAATTATCATGCAAATTAGGTAATATGCACAGATTTTTACCAAAACCTAATTAAATTTGCGCATCGGCCCAGAGCATCTATGTACCACGTTTCATCAAAAATCAATGTATGATTCTTGAGATATCAGTGGAACACACACACACACACACACACACACACACACACACACAGACACAGACAGACAGACAGACACACTAACTGCAAAGACTCCCTTTTTGTGCTTTGCACACGGGAGTCAAAAATGAACAAATCTAAGAAGTCTACCCAAGGTATCAAAGCATTCAAACTTGAAGTCGAAAAAGTAAAAAGTTGAAGCGGACGACGGTGGACAATCACTTATATCATAAGCTTTGCTCGACAGCGGAGCTATTAAAAACAAGTCATTGTCAATGACACGTCCCCGTTCCGTTTATATTTGAGTGACATATACATTCAAAGCAGATCATGACCGAAATCTCAGACCACTTTCAGTGGTCTGATCCGAAATGCACCTGCATATGTACAACACATTGTACTAAATCTGAAGAAAATCCATCCATGCATGACTAAGATCCGGTTCCGGAATTGTGAAAATACGTGATTTTGATGCATTTTCGGCCTTAAGGATGCTGTACACGTTTTTGGTATTGATTTTTTTAACTGATATTTTCATATAAAATATTTACTGAACCACACAAAGCTATATATTGATGGAAAGCCTATTTCACACTGGATATGAAAT